AACCCCCTTCCCCTCCCCCTTTTCTGATGAAGGGTCTAGGCCCGAAACGTCAGCCTCTCTGCTCCTATGATGCTGCTTGGCCTGCTGTGTTCATCCAGCCCTGTACCTTGTTGTCTGTGTAAATTAGGGGGATGGTTCTGGGTCAGATGCTCTGAGGGTTGATGTGGAGTTGTTGGGCTGAAGAGCCTGTTTCCACACTGTCGGGATTCTGAGAGGTGAGGGAAGTCAGTCAGCTTAGTTACGTTGCTTGTGTGACACAGTATGAAGCCAATGACAATATTTCAATGCCTGCACCAGCAGTGGTTGTTCATGGAGGGCTTCCTTCTTGCCTTGCCCTATGCTTAATGTGAAATGTCACCACTCACATCACTCTCTGACAGAGAGAGCTGCCAACAATCTTTATGACTGCAAACCCGTGGGTAGTTAATGTACAGGTTATAGTATGTTTATGAATGAATGAACTTTGCGAAATAACAGAAATTTAGGGTGCCCCTGAAGATTGACTCCAGCTTGTAGAGGCGGCTTTTTTTTCTCTATTACTTTGTTCACCTACTAAATTAGTATTTTCCTCTTGTGCAATGAGAGCTTTGATTGTTGGAGTGTGGCTTGCTATGGGTACTTTGTGAATGAATATTTTTCTATGATTGCAAAGCGCATTAATGCAGCTTGTAGCTTTTTTGATAGGCAGCTGTCTCAGATAATTTCCATTACAGCAAATGCTAGAACTGTTTCTCTGGCAATCAAATCACTCATCACTCTCCAATGTTTGCATGTTGGAGCCAACCTTCATTTCAACGTGCTACTGAATTGGAAACTGACTGGTATTATTTTGATGAATGTGAATGTTTAATTAGTTTGTCACATCCTGGGAATTCCCTTTTGTGAGTGAGTTGGCATGGTTCAGCCATACTATTGACTGAGTGCAACTTACAGAACAAATTCAGTGTGAAAATGTTGTCTTTCACATATGCACTGTCTGTTTCTGTCTGGTTGAACACTCGCAAGATGAAGAAAGTCATTTTGCCTCTTTCATCCAGAATGTTAATTTGACCTTGCCAGTTTTATGATATTTTCTTGAGTAATGCACTGGAATGTCATTCTGTAGTGTGTGCCCACATCTAGACATGGTGCTTGAGCTTACACCCTTTTAATCCAGTGATCAACAAAACATGAACTGACACTAGGATGGCACTGTCACCAAGCAGTCATAACAGCACTGAGTGGGGAAATTATTGCAGTAAGTAATAATTTGCTTGAGACCCAGAATGAAGTTATGTATTCCAGTTCAAGTTTCAGTTATTAATTGGGCTGAAGCATCTAATTATGCATGGAATAATAAGGAAACGCTTCCCCAGGTTCACTTCCTAAAATGCATTGAATTAGTTAACTTTAGGCCAGTTAGTAGTACAGGTGGACTAATTGCACATGGAAGCAAAAATTAGGTTAGTGAAAGGTGTGTGTTGTGTGTGTGTGTGTGTGTATGTGTTGTATGTTGCATTTTATTTTCTAATGCCCTGCAACGAAATGTTAGAGTATGAAGATTTTAAGTGCCAGAGCATAGGATCAATGGGAAGCAGTGCTTGGAGAAAATGGATCTTAAATTGAAGTCAAGAAGTCTGTGATTTTCTATCCATGCTTTGAAGCTGTCTTGTGTGCTATTATCATTAATCTCCAGCAAAGCCATTTGCTCTGCGATGTTCGTAGCCTGGGGCTTAATACAATATTATTGTGTCAATTGGACAATTCAGCTGTGGAAGGCATCGTAGCTGAGACTGTTGTAAAATCAAACCACTGCAGATTCTGGAGTTCTGAAATGAAAGCAGAAAGTTCTGGGGAACCTAGTTCCAAAGAGGAAAGTTTGAGTTATAAAGAAAGGCTGCATAGGCTGGGAATTTTATCACTGGAGTGTGGGAGGTTGAGAGGTGACCTTTATAAAATAATGAGGGATATATATAGAGTTAAAGATAGCTGTCTTTTCCCTAGGATGGTGGTGGGGGAGGTGGTTTCAAGACCGGGGGCACGTTTTTAAGGTGAGATGAGAGAAATTTTAGAAAGACATGAGGGGCAAATTTTTTACAGAGGGTGGTTTGCATGTGGATGAACTTTCAGAGGAAGTGGCAGGTGTGGGTACAGTTACAACATTTAAAAGACATTTGAGTATGTAAATGAATAGGAACGTTTTGGAGGGATATGGGCCAGGACCAGGCAGGTGGGACTAGTTTAGTTTGGGATTATGTTTGGCATGGACTGGTTGAACCGAAGGGTCTGTTTCTGTGCTGTATGACCCTATGACTATGACTATAAGTGCTTTATTGGACTCAAGATATTAACTTTTTCTTGATCCGCAGATGCTGCCAGACCTACTGGATTTTCCCAGCACTTTGTTTTTATTGCAGCTGTGTCTGTTCTTATCCTGGCTTGATGTCCAACTGTGTATTACCCAGCATTGCTGAGCTAAGATAGTTTCGTTTCTTTTCTTTAGGTCAGGGACAACATCAATTGTAGTACCCTGATTGCCATTTGTGTTGAAATCTGCTGGCTCACCGCAGATCAGGGAATTGAACCTGGCGTCTTCTTGGTCTGTGTAGATCCTGACAGTGTGGCTCTGTTACCAGCATAACATGTATAACTATTGTAAATCTGAAAATAATATATTAATTCATGGAAAATTGTAGGTTCTTTTGGAAAAAGGTAATTTTACTGTTGAAATCTGTTTTAATGATTCAGTTTGATCAATAGGGTGTATAATAATGATTTCTCAAAGCTGTGAGTGAACCACAGCAGATCAGTTTCCATGAACTTGCTTAGGGCTTGGCGTAGGGAAGTGCTGATACAGACGAAGACGTCACTGAAATAACTCAGCAGTAGAGCATGATTCGTTGTTGTCTGAATTTCATTGCATCACAGCTGTGGGCGGGTATGAGAATATTAAAAAGGAATGACCGGTAATCCCCCAAAGCAGTCAGACGTTGTGCCTGCCAGAACAGAAGAAATATAGTTGTACAGCTCTCTAGAGTGGATTACAGACTCTTAAGGCACTATTTAGGCTTGGTCTGAGCTAGACTTTACTGTGAGTATATTATGGAGTATGGACATATATCTTCTACATATTTAAACAGTTGTACGCCCCCTCCTCCCCATCTAGATAAGTAATAGTATTTGACAGTGGAACATATGGTGATAGTATTATGTAGGAAACCAGCTGTACCAGTGGTTTTAATAAAAGATGTTAAAAATAGAAGTGGAGATAGTAGGAACTGCAGATGCTGGAGAATCCGAGACAACAAGGTGCAGGGCTGGATGAACACAGCAGGCCAAGCAGCATCATAGGAGCAGAGAGGCTGACGTTTCGGGCCTAGACCCTTCATCAGAAAAGGGGGAGGGGAAGGGGGTTTTGAAATAAATAGGGAGAGAGTGGGAGGCGGATAGAAGAGGGATAGAGGAGAGGATAGGTGGAGAGGAAACAAACAGGTCGAAGAGGCGGGGATGGAGCCAGTAAAGGTGAGTGTAGGTAGGGAGTTAGGAAGGGGATAGGTCAGTCCAGGGAGGACAGACAGGTCAAGGGGGCAGGATGAGGTTGGTCGGTAGGAGATGGAGGTGTGGCTTGAGGTGGGAGGAGGGGATAGGTGGGAGGAAGAACAGGTTAGGGAGGCAGGGACGAGCTGGACTGGTTTTGGGATGCGGTAGGGGGAGGGGAGATTTTGAAACTTGTGAAATCCACATTGATACCATTGGGCTGCAGGGTTCCCAAGCGGAATATGAGTTGCTGTCCCTGCAACCTTCGTGGCTTGTGTTTCATTTGGTTTTAGTATTTCAGATCCATAGCGCTATAGATCACTAGTAACCTTCAATTATTCTGGCCTTTAGAATTTATATCAAGGATAAGAAGTTATGGTATGAAGAAGGATATGAATATTTAATTAGATAGTTTTAAAATTGTGGAATGTTTTGAGAGGTTTTAGATTGTTTCACTGGTTGGCATGTTGATAACAAGGCAACATTGGCTCAGTATTATCGCCGGAAGAATAAAGAGGAAGACCAAAAAAATGTTTCTTATACGTGGTTCTTGGAATAGGGAATACGTTACCACAAGTGGCTACTGAGAATTTGAAAAGGAAGCGTATAAAAGACTATGGGAAAGGGCAAAGAAATAGGACCTGGCAGCTTTAATTCAAATAGCTAGCGTTAGCACAAGTAGACCAAATAGCTTTCTCCAGCACTGAGTCTAATAAAATATTTTGGCGCAATCTTCTGACTGTTTAAACCTTTGCATTATTCCAATTTTATAAATGACTGATAATACCAACATATTAAGTTTTTATACAGGCATGTGTCAAAACATTTTAGTGAAGTGTAATGGTGAAGCTTCTGATATGTCCTCTTGAACTATGATGAAATTACAGAATGCAGTGGCATACATGAGTAGATACTGCTTACAACCTGATGTTTAAAATTTATTAGTAAACTTAGAATAGATGCCTATAAGCAGTGTTAACAAATCGTATGTAATTTAAATGTAAAGGTGTTCTTGAACATCAGGCTGAGTCTTATCTGAACAATATCAGTGTGCTTGAGTTTAGAGGTGATGATTTTCATTTTAGGCTGTTTTGTGTAGTACTGTACTACATTATAATACAGTACTTCAAGCAGTTAAAAATGAAAGCAGTCACTTAGCCTCTGATCCTGTTTCCTTCCTGCTGTATTTCAATACTAACTTTGTTCTTTTGGAATGTACAAGCTTTTGTTTTAAGGTATCCCTGTGGGTCAAAAGAAGCAGGAGTGTTACTCTAAGCCTCATAATGAGGTTTGGGCCTTCCTAGCCTTGGCGATCCCTCCAGCCTCAGTTTACTGGTGCTCTAATTCCCAGGAATGCCAGCTGCACCCTCCTGCCACCAAATTCTCGCTTTTATCTGCTGGCCAGTTAGTGAAACTGCAGAGTTCCACATAAACTTCTTCCAAACTATTTTGATCACAAGTCCACCGTGATCCAGATTCCTGAGTTCACTGTTCACTTCAAGGCTCAGACCAAACCACACCATCTTCCCCAATACTCCCTCACCACCTGTTCTCCGACATTGACAAAATCATCAACAGTATCCAAATATTCAGTTTATTGTATCACAACTTATAATTCTGTTCTCAAATTGAGCACTGTTAATCAAAGTTTGTCCTAAGGTTTTGAGGAACTATTTTACATGTGATGATTATTGAAAGCATTTTAAATGATATTTCAATATCTGTAAATGTATGTGAATCAATTGCTAAAAATGCAAGTAATTTTAAAACAACTCAAGTTGCTTTATTTCACCTTTGGTTATGTTATTGTACGTATGTATGTGAGATATATCACACACATACTTGTATAATATGTTACTGAATTTACTTCTCAATTTGAAAACAAAATGTTTTTGAAGTTATTGGTAGTGGGATCTACAAAGTATAAACACTTTATTCAGAGTATTGTTGACAGTGAAATACTAGAAATTATTTAAAGTTTCAATTTACCAGGAGAGACTTGACCTCTGTGGGTCCCTATCCCCAGTATAAAAATAAGGATAAGCCCCTCCCCCCCCCCCCCCCCCCCACTACAGTGCCTTGCTGACTGACCCCACAGCCGCTTAACGGATTTAACATTCATTAAGCTAGCTATTAATTATCACCAGAGTGAAGGATTGGGTGTTCAGATGTGGTAGGGAAGATGTGGTTGGGGAGGAGTGACTAGAAAGGTCTTGTGGGGTCCTCCAAAGGGCAAGAAAGGAATTACTGTCATTGCCTCCCCCAGCTACCCAGACATCAGCACAGTGAGTGAAAGCTACTGGATTGCACGCCTGCCATGGGCTTCTATCATGCCCATTAAGAGCTTCAACTAGAGCAGAGGTGAAGAGGTGAGCACATTCAGGGGGAAGCAATGGCCTAGTGGTATTATCGTTGGACTGTTAGTCCAGAGACCCAGACAATGTTCTGGGGACCCGCGTTCAAATCCCGCCACGGCAGATGGTGGAATTTGAATTCAATAAAATATATGGAATTAAGAATCTAAGGATGACCGTGAATCCATTGCTGATTGTCGGAAAAACCCATCTGGTTCACTAATGTCCTTTAGGGAAGGAAACTGCCATCCTTACCTGGTCTGGTCTACATGTGTCTCCAGACCCACAGCAATGTGGTTGACTCTTAACTGCCCTCTGGGCAATTAGGGATGTGCAATAAGTGCCTAGTCAGTGATGCCCTCATCCCGTGAATGGATAAAGAAGAAAAAGTCTCCCAAATGTTTTCCCCTGGTAGTTAAGTTGGAGCTGGGTAAGCGAGAAAGCACGGGGAATGACATTTGTAGCATGCAGTCCCATTTCATGGCCTGTTTAGCCTGTCACCCCACTTTCGTGTTGGGTATGGGGTTGCGAGGGCATGACCATAAAATCCAGCCTAATTTCTGTAAAGGTAGCTTTCTCACGAGCAATTTTTCTCTAGTATTATGAGTCTGAATAAAGTTTTTGGCGCTGTCTTCAGTCTTCAATCATATCTCATTATTCCAATTTTATAAATTTGCCTGTCCTTAATTACAGACTTGGCCATTTCAGACATTTTTAACTAAACTGTTCAGATATGTAAAGAGACACCTCTGGAACAAGTGGGACTTGAACCAGGCCCTTCTGCAGCCACTACTGATGTATCACAAGAGCCCTTTCCACTTGGTCGTTTTATGCTGTTTCAAAGTGAACTTGACAGAAACCTTTTTAGCATTTATTTAATTTTACAACAAAGGTAGAGATGTGAAATCCGGGAAAGTAATGCTGTTCAACACTGCTGTAGGAAAAGTGTCGCACTGAGTAATATTAAGCAAGAGTTATAATTAGGATTATCTCGCGTACAGATGCTGGGGGAGAGAATTTAAATTCGATGATTGCACGTGCTGTTTAAGTGTTTAATGTTTTAATGCTATGGTTTTGGAAATGGAGAACTTTGAAGGGAGGTATATAGAGTTAATAATTCTCATCAGTCAACTCAAATCCACGACTGTAAACTTGCCAATTAAGTTAATAGAACAGCTGCCACACTCCAAAACGTGCCATTGCAAACCTGCTGATATTCCGCTTTACTCAAGGTTTCTTCAATCGCTTGAATACTGATTGCCGAAGAAGTTATGTTTAAGGTAGCGTGATGCTGATAATTTACTTTGTGATTGACTGAAGACAATAAGTGTTTTTCTTTCCCTTAATCCTTGAACTTTGCAGGACTTGCATGTTGAAAGACAAACATTAAAATGAATCAAGATTTAACAGATGTTGAATTTATTGCTGTCAGGAAATGGATAAATGTGTCGTCAAGGTTAATCAAGTTACTTCACAGTTCAGGGACATTTTGGGCTGCATGTAACCATGGTTTCAAGACCCCAGCGACTGAACCAACTGGAAATCCTGGGTCAGTATTTTACAGCAGTGTTACCCACTAGAACAATTTTCCCAGAGAGAACCTATGAATTGGCCATCTTTGTGTTCACTATCTTGTTAATGAGAACAAGTGGGTCTTTACGCAGCAGGCTAAGTCTGAGGCTGTAGCTCTTGCACCTCAGCCACTCAGTAGGCAGAGAGGTGGATGCTGCTGAGGCACATTGGTTGTAGTGGTCTATGTTCTACATTAACATGGATTTGCACTTAGAAGTGTTCATGAATATTAGAAGTGGTAAGGATCAAAGCCAGTGGGGCCCTTGGAGCAGAGTGCAAAATTGTCCAGGTGAATTTTTTAGGTTGTGGGTGCGTCTTTTCCTGACCACAGCATTGTCATTGGCACTGGATGCTTGGCACCACAATGATCCAAAGTCCCTAACTTGCCAGGAGAGGCTGCTGTCATTAAGCTGATAGTTTCTTCACACAGAGAAGGGCAGATTCTACTGGTAGCAAAATGTCAGTGAAGCCCTGAAAATCACCCCTACTTAGGGCTTTAATCATCTATTGGCTGGCTGCCTCCAGACATTTCCCTGGCAAACCTACCGTTTACTTTCCTGTCTCTTAATAATGTATTCATTTGGCCAGGAAAATCTGGCCCAATTTTGTATGCATGAGTAGGAGTGTG